TGCTCTACCATGCCCCACTGTGATGAGCTGATTTTATTTAACCTAAAACCCTCAAGGTGCCTCCCTCTTCAAATTATTTTATATATAAAGCAATAGACAGTTTTATAGAACATTAGAAAAGCTTGAGGAGCTAGATGTGGTCGTGCATGCCTATAATCTCAGCTACTCAGGAGACTAAGACGGAAAAGATCACAAGTTCAAACCCAGCCTGGGCAACTTTGCAACTTGGACAGACCCTGCCTCAAAATAAAAAATAAAAAGGGCTGGGGATGTAGCTCAGTGGTAAAGCACTTGCCAAGCATGCACGAGGGTCTGGGAATGAGCTCCAGTACACCTAAATAAATAGGGACTATCTCCCCCCCATCTGGGGGGTGGGTCACATGCACACATCTCCCCTCGCTGTTTCGTGTCATTTCACCAGCTCTAAGATGGCATCGTTTCTGCTTTGTTTTTGCAGTGCTAGGGATCAAAGCCGGCACCTCACAGACGCCAGGCAAGCTCTCTGTCACCAAGTCAGATCCCAACCCTCTTTATTCCATTTCAAGACACACTTCTGCTAAGTTGCTCAGGCTGGCCTCAAACTTGCCACCCTCCTTTCTGCCTCAGGAGGATCCCGCCTCCAAGCAGCTGGGATCGCAGGCTGTACCCCCACGCCCCGAGCGCTTCCATAGTAAGACAATGTGATTTTAACCTTGCAGAGGTACAATGAAAAAAAAAAATCAGGAGACAGACTTTATACACTCACACACACACACACACGCACACCCCTACATGTTTAGAGTAATTTCTGTACATGTGGGAGTGGCCCCGGAGGCTGGGATTTTGTCTCTTTCTCACCAGCACTGTGCCAGTCCAGGACCAGCTCCACGAGCACCATCCCACTCTCCGGAGTCACCAACCCTCATCTCTGGCTGTTGCCACCTCCCAGTCAGTCCTGTCGGGGACTCAGAAACTTTCTTGTACAAATTTTGTGCCCATATATGTTTCTTTAGAGGAATTTCTAAAAATAGAAGGGCACATTGGAAAGCCTCACTATGTAGCCAAAGCTAGCCTGGAAGTCAAGGTAATTTTTCTGCCTCAGCCTCCCAAGTGCTGGGATTACAAGTGTGTGCCATCACACCTGGCTAAAAGGTTGTTTTTTTTGTGTGTGTGTCTTTTTGAGACAGGGTCTCCATACGGAGTTCAGGCTGGCCTTGAGCTCACTTTGTAGCCCAGGCTGGTCCCAAACTCTCAACGATCCTCCTGCCTCAGCCTCCAGAGTGCTGGGATTACAGGTGAGTGCCACCGCGCCTGGCTCTGAAAGTTTTGATTTACATCGTCAATTTCCTTTCCCCCAAAAGTTGTGCAATGCACACACCCATCTGTGCCCCCCCCCCCAAGGGCTGGGGATTGAACCCAGGGCCTTTGTGCTGAGCTACCTCCCCAGCTCTTTTTTATTTTTTATTTAGAGCCAGGGTCTCTGCAAGTCAATAAATTGCCCAGGGTGGGCTCAAACTTGTGATCCTCCTGCCTCAGCCTCCCAGAGTGACGGCATTCATTACAGGCGAGCAGCACTACGCCCAGTTTAAATTTGGCTCTTTATAACCTACCCAACCCTCAGGACTTTGGGACTGGGGCCTGTGCAGTCCCAGAGAAATTTACAGGGCCCCTCCCAACCAGGAAAGAGGTTGGGAGTGGGGTGTTGGCTCAGGACCTGTGGACAACGTCTGAAGAGGGGCCCGGGGACCTTGGCACCCCCGTGCTGCGGGATCTTGGACAAAGAGCCTCACCTCTCGGGGCGTTAGTTTCCCCCGCCGCCCTACGGGAAGCTTGCCTCGGCCCCCGGGAGGGATGTGCGTGCAGCGAAAGCGCGCGGACGGACGCAGCCCCGCAGCCGCCGCCTCGGGCCGGCGCGACGTCCC